AACATTTCACTACTACTTCACTTTTTGAATCATCTGCTTATAAACATACTTTATTTAACGAGAATTGTTATCCAATGTCGATAATTCTTTTTTTATATAATGGTGTATCAATTCAAAAAAAATTTTTATTCGAGTTTATTTATGCATCAGGATTTGACAATACGTACGTATTTACAAGCAATATTTTTTTATTGTTTGGGATTATGCTGAAATCGGATGATTTTGAAATTTGGGGTCCCTTTTTTTAAAAAAAAAACCACCCCCACAAATTTTAAATCGTATATTAGGTAAATAGGACCAAATTTCTATCGTCTGATTTCAGCATTATCGTTATCCCCGATATCTATTATACATTTCGTAGACATATGTATCCAGCGCCAAGTTCTACCATTTCTACCATATTGTTACCATATTGTGCTGAAATAAAACAATGCTGAATTTGAAGAAGTATACTCGGAAAATACAATAGAAACTATTGAAGATTGTTAATTTATACACAGCTGATATCTGTTGTACATTTTTGATGTCCAAGTCCAAGAATGTCCAAGCATTATTTGAAGCAACTAATTATATGCAAAATTAGATGTTAAATTTTATTTATGCAATTAGCAGTTAGAATATTAAATCAAGAGTTCTTTTTTAATGTAACATGTCCAAATCTTTGTCCAAGCATGTCCGGCTGATATTGTAGAGTGGAGTGACTTGCGGAACTTGCGGACCACAGTCAAATTTAAATTTCCGCAACTAAAAATATATATGCTAGGGATGGTAAAAAAACAGTAAAACATTTTTTTATGATTAAAGTCCGAATACTGGATCAAATAATGATCACCTGTTTTTTAATTTATCATCACCTGTTTTTAATTACGTAATAAAAAACTTTTGTCATCCCTAATATATGCAAATCCTCAAGTTAAATTTTATGGGTTCGCAACTAAATTGAAAATTGAATTTTAGACATAGTGCCATCCAATAAAAAATTAGCAGTTTTCTTAATCGAGTTAAATAGCATGCCATTGAAATGTTATTGATGACATATCCATGATATCAGGTTTAAATATACTGTCATGTCACTCTAGTTATACCGATATCTGGATATAACGACACCATACCGTCATTTTTTATTTATTAAAATCTCTTGAGTAACGTGTATCATTAAATATGGTATCTCGGGAGGGCTATGGTAAATTGATCTCGATCTCACCTAAAATTTGATACTTACCTAATATCTAGGGACAACATAAGTTATTAGATGTTAAAGCAGGTCAGCATTAGAATGGTGCAACACAATTTAACCATGTTACAAAATGCAATCCTAGTAGTCCGACTTTTAGAGTTGTGATAACTTACCTGACAACGTAAACTTACATTGTAAAGTTACATGACCTCATGTAAGTTATGATACAAATAATAAGATATTAAAGTGAGCCAGCATTAAAATAAATTTGGCCAACATTAAGATTAATTCATGCTAACATTAAGGCAAAAGATTTTATATAGGAAGTTCCGAAATAGATGATGAAAGAACCTAAAATACGAGCAAAATTTCTTTCGGATCAGCACGAAAGAGGACCTGAATTTAGTTTTACATAACATATAACGTAAGTTACATAACTAAAACATACGTCAGTTAAAATAACTTGCACATAATTTACACATAACATACATAATTTACGTAAGTTACATAAATAATAACTAACTTACCAGTTACAGTCAGTTAAAATAACACGTAAATTACCCTATTTAAATTATTATTCTAGCCAGATTAAATATTATTTTACCAGCGTTAACATAAATTATCTATTGATAAATTTATATGTTTAATCTCAATATAATCACTAGATTGATAACCAAATTTTAATTTTTAATAATTTAAAAGATTATTAACGCTAACGCTAACTAAAAAAATTAATAAACCACTTTATTTGTTATGAATTCTACTCATATGTAATGATTTTAAATGCTTAGTTTTAAAGCAGATATAGTTATAATACTTTTATTATATATGACTAAACCGATCATGATAATGGATATCAGAATTTGAACACATAATCTGCTAAAAATTTCAAGATACAAAAATTTTTTAATAACGTATACAATAAAAATAATATTTTTTTTTTTTTTTTTTTTTTTTTTTTATACAAATATATACAATCACCAAAAAATGATCTCTTGAAAAGACTAAAAAAGCATTTGATTGTCCTCAATTTTTTTAAACAGGAAGCTTTGTAACCTGCTCGCAACATTTCATAAACGAGTGTTTCAAAAGGTCACATGCACCAGGTCTACATTTAGCTTCAACTATTAAACAATCTCGAAGGAATGATTCAAAATCAGGAGATATTCCTGATGGTAATGGTGGTGTACCTACGGTTCTTATAAGTTCAACAACCTTAATAAAGTTGAAATAAATATAAATATTAAATTAATATATAAAAAAAAACAGAGATAGTAAGTAACCTTATTCAGATAAAATAATCTTACCCTTCGTTGACCCATAGGATACCATGGGGGCCTTCCCTCAAAAAGTTCGATGGCCAATATACCTAGAGACCAAATATCTATTTTACAATCATAAATTTGATCTTTTAATACTTCGGGAGCCATCCAATATAATGTACCAAGTTTTAATTTCGCACGACATCGTAATGAAGAGGAACCAAAATCGGCTAATAGATGAAAATAATTCATATTAATAAAAAGTTTAATATTCTATTAATATTCTATTCAATATTCATATTAAGTAAGATTAATAATAATAATTTTTTTTTTTTTTTTTTTAAAAAAAATACATACCTATTTTAACACCACCATCATTACTTATTAGAATATTTTGAGCTTTAATATCTCGATGTATAATTCCTAATCCATGAATACATTCCAATCCTTTCAAAACCTCACGCATCACAAAAGCAACTTCAACTTCATTAAATCGTTTTTGTGGTTTTTTGTTTCGTACATCCCATAAAGATCCAGGTTCACAATAATCCATTAATAAAAATAAATTAGGATTATTAAACTCTTTATAACAATTATCATCCATTGGATAACAATTCTCGTTAAATAAAGTATGTTTATAAGCAGATGATTCAAAAAGTGAAGTAGTAGTGAAATGTT